TATTTTTCAGACTAATTATTGGTTTTTATTATTTTTTTGTTACACAAATATTGATAGAGTTCTAATTGTTTAAAGAGTGCGCGGCTGTCCAACCGGAGTGTCTTTCGAGCCCTTTAACCCTTCGCCGTTTCAAAATAACAGAAGTTACGGTAATATTTATGATAAAGAAAGTTGTAGTTCATTTAATCACCTTTAAAATAATATATTATAAGTTATGATAAAATCAGAATTAAAAGAGTTATAATCCAATTAATGCGGGGGGTGGTGACGAATTTGCAAATTGTTTTCATTTCTGAACTTTAGATTAAGATTAGCTGGGCATACGCTTTTTTCCTCTTCATTTAACGCAATAATTTTGTTGATAGTAGGTTGAATAGTGCACATGTGAACAAAATGTGACAAATTAATTCACTTCAAATATGAACGTAAGTAATAATGTATATTGAATTATTAGTGTGAAAAATGCAATTTAGATATTAAAATACTAAAAGCCAGTTAAAATATGGTACGAAATTATAAAAATTGTAGGCAACATTATTGAAGCAATTATTTTGGGTAGAAAAATCCAAGGTAATATTGTACCTTGACCGCATGCTATATATTAATTCTTTCTTTTGTTATACTTTTTAAAAGATTTCAATTTTCAACACGTGTATCTATGCTATGACAATAAATACATGGTGATAAATTTGGAAAATAATGTTTTAGCCGTAAATAAACCAAAAATTATTCATTTAAACATCCACAATTACAGGTATGTCTGAAAATATTGTATAACCCTTAAATTCAATAAAATAAATTGAGCTATTGGAAATAAATTTGTTCTATAAATCGCAGTGTATAATTTTTAATATATAATTTTATTGAATATATTTTAATATTTGTTAAAGGGATAATTAAAGTGTTAACTGTGGGAATTGAGAATAATCATTTTATTTGAAACAGTACTACATTTAACATCACTCATATATTGGTGTAAATAGTAACTCGAAAAATAATAATGATTATTTTTAACTGAACGGTATAAATATTAGTATAGGATATTAAAAAAACGTAGAGGCGAGTACAGGACAACGTCTGTCGGGTCATCTAGTATATATATATATATATATATATATATAAAGCGAGAGGTTTTTCTTCAGATGGTGAAATAATATGATAAAAATTGTTTCTTGGGCATCCATCCAATAATTAAAAAAACAGTTTTAATGCAAAATGTTTTAATTAAGAGAACATACGTTTCGGGTCCAGATTTGACCCATCTTCAGTGCTACAAATAAATATATCAGGGTTACAAATTAAAACAATATAAAAAAATAATATAAAAGATACATAATTACAGACAAAAATAAGTAGATACAATGTATATGAAAAGTATATATGAAAAACAACATAAAATAAACATATGTAAAGAAACTCACCATACAAATAATTTTTTTTAAAAAATATAACACAAAGAACAACACAAAAATGTAAAACGAAAAAATAAGTATGAACTTACTTTTCGTTCTACTTAATACAATACTTATTTTTCGTTCAACGACTGTTTTTTTAAACAAAAATTTGGCACTCCAATGGGTTCCAGTTTGAGTGCCCCACTTGCTGAACTTTGTATGCAGTTCCTAGAGAACTCTACACTTAATACCTTGTCTTATGTACCTCTTTTTTACAAACGTTACGTTGATGACATTTTAACTTGCATTCCTACTTATAACATAACCAATTTCCTAAACTCTTTTAATAATTTCAACACACACCTTTGTTTTACCTTAGAGACCCAACTCAACAACTCCATTAATTTTTTAGATATTACCCTTTTTATAAATAACGGCTCCATCACTACATGTTGGTATCAAAAATCCACTTGGTCTGGACGTTATTTAAACTACCATTCCTATCACCCCAAATCGACTAAGATTGCATCTATCATCAACTTACTAGACCATGCCATCCTTCTTTCTCATCCATCACATTGGGAAAAAAATATCAATTTGATATATTCTACCCTTCAAAATAATTCCTATCCACTACAACTTTTACGCTCAGTAATTAATAATAGATTACCTTTTCTTCGTAATAAATTCCGTACATCTTCCTCATTTACCTCCCATTCACAACAAAATAACATCACTTCACAAACCCTTAACCCTGTTCCTGATAATTCACTATCTCTCAATTCCTTCATCTCATTACCGTACATCGATTGCCTTTTCCACTCATGGAAAAAACTTTTTTCATCCGTTGGTCTGAAACTAGTGTGTTCGACTGGACACACTCTCACAGACTTATACACTAATTTAAAAACTCCTACCCCTATTTCCCGCACGTCAAACGTTGTATATGTCATTGATTGTAATGATTGTTCAAGTTGTTATGTTGGAGAAACTTCACAATTTCTCTCAAAAAGAATGCGCCAACACGAACTTAACAGTCTTAACAGGAAACAAAATAAAACCATGATCACCGAACATGTCTCCAACTTTAAACATTCTTTTAATTTCACCAATCCAAGAATTATTCATCGAGAAGCCAACACTTTACGCAGGAAGTTTGCTGAGAGTATTTTTATACAAATATTACCTACTATTAACAAACGTTTTGATTCGGCTTCTCTTTGCAATATTTACCGCGATGCTTCGAACAATTTTTTCAATATGCGCAATACTTCGTAACAATTCTTTTATGTAATGTATATGTATGTATGTATATATGCGTAGTTTTATGTATGTGTATATGTACATATATACATATTTATGTTTGTGGATATACATGTATGGGCATATATGTTGCATTTGTGTGTATATTTGGATTTTACATAGATGTTGTAATTGCATGTTTGCATGTGGTTGTTTATGTTAGTTATGTTTTGTGTATGTGTATGCAATTGTTACAATTATTGTGTTGCGTTATATATACACATATTATGTTGTTTTTTAATTTTTAATAACTTGTTTTTTTTTTTAACTTTTATCTTTTTCAGTTAATATTTATACTTTTTCTTAATATAATTCTCTATTTCACAATTTTTTACATTGTTCTGTCTTGGTTTTATTATGTTTCTATATTTTTATTTTGATCCACATTTTTCATTTTGATCCAACTTTGTTCAACCGTCTGATTATGGATGACTTACATATTTAAAAAAATTTTCTATGTTCCTTGCGCATGATCGCTGGAAAATTCTTCATAACTGTAACCCTTAAAATTCTCTCTATCCCGTTCTCTCATCCAATGACGATACAGTTTCCACTATTTTCCGCTGCAAACACGTAGGCCCGCATTTTACTCTCGTTTACACATACGTAATTCTGTCTCCAAACTAACAAGATGTGTTTTTGGAATAACCTTTTTTACAATAAAACATATTATTTATTTTAATTTTTACAATTTTCATAACTTGATGTTTTTTCAATTTTTTATTTCATACTTATTTTTTCGTTTTACATTTTTGTGTTGTTCTTTGTGTTATATTTTTTTAAAAAATTTATTTGTATGGTGAGTTTCTTTACATATGTTTATTTTATGTTGTTTTTCATATATACTTTTCATATACATTGTATCTACTTATTTTTGTCTGTAATTATGTATCTTTTATATTATTTTTTTATATTGTTTTAATTTGTAACCCTGATATATTTATTTGTAGCACTGAAGATGGGTCAAATCTGGACCCGAAACGTATGTTCTCTTAATTAAAACATTTTGCATTAAAACTGTTCTTTTAATTATTGGATGGATGCCCAAGAAACAATTTTTATCATATATATATATATATATATATATATATATATATATATATATATATCTTCTATATATATAAAAATAAGTCGGGTTTTCCTTCCTGACGAAATAACTCCAGAACGCGCGAACCGATTTCGACAATTTTACATTCGTTGGAAAGGTCTCGGGCTCCGCAAGGTTTATAGCTAAGAAAATTTTAAAAAAAATTCAACAGAAAAGCGGAAAACATATTTTCTTTTTTTACATGCGGCGTCATCTCTAAAACTTAGCATGTACTACAAACCAAACCGCAGTCGGTAGATGGCGCCGGTAGATATATTGTTTGACATCTCAATGTTCACCGTTCAGTTAAATTCAGGTGACAAACCGGCATTGTGTTTACAGTGAAATTGTGCAAAAAAGTTAAATAAGTTATTCTTTTCCGTATATCACGCGTTTTGTGCAAATTTTTGTCTTTAAAGCAGGCGTTTGTCTTTAAGGTGGTAAGTTAAACTGTGTAAATTATGTGGATAGTGCATTTGAGATTAAATTCACCACTCTGTCCATAGTCTGAAATGCCTATAGGACGACGTGCGAACATCGGTCGCCGCACAAGACCCGCAAATCGGCTCGAAGCCAAGTTCTAGCACCGTACGGCACCGAAGCCCTAGCCCCGATCGGAAACCAAGACCAAGCCTCGATAAGAACTCAAGACCTAACTTCGATAGGAACCCAAGACCGATTCTCGATAATAACCCTAAACCCAAGCCTAGACTCAGCTCCGATGGAAACCCGAGCCGTAGTCCCGATGGGATATCAAGCCATAGCTCCGATGGAAACCCGAGCCGCAGTCCCGATTGGAATTCAAGCCATAGCCACGATGAAGACCAAAGCCGTATCCCCGATGGGAAGCCAATCCTTAGCTCCTAGGACCCAAACCCTATCCACGACGCAAACCCAAACCAAAGTCATAAAGAGGATCAGAAACCAAGCCCAGACGCGGAACCAAGGCCAAGCCCAGTCGCGGACCCAAGATCCAGCCCAGTCGCGGACTCAAGCTCCATCCACGTCGCGGGCCAAAGCCCCAGCCCGTGACCCGAAGCTAGCAGCAAGTGTATTTACTAAACTTAACCGAAGGCAGACAAAATATAATAAGACAAAATGCCCGGTTAAGACAACGCATCAGTACACGTAGATCATTGACATCATACAATCGCTTGGCATTCCAGTATGATCCCACTGCAAACTACAGTGACGATAAAAATTTCGATATTGGACCAATGACGACTATATGCCGATATTGCAATGCGTTAAAGTTCAAAAGAGAAACGGCTGGATTGTGCTGCGCAAGTGGAAAAGTAAAACTGGATCCATTATTTGCACCACCAGTGCCACTGAAATCATTGTTTGATGGAAGTGACCCCGATTCCAGCCATTTTCTTCAACACATCCTTCAATACAATAACTGCTTTCGCATGACTTCCTTTGGAGCTAATATCATTCAAGAAGGCGGCTTCATGCCGACTTGCAAGGTAAAAGATACAACGCACATAACCAATTACTCACACCAACACAATGAATTGCACACCACACACTACACCATCACACGATCAGAAGTTACACCGTATTCTTCAACTAATGATTGTTTGCAATTACAGATACAAGGACAAATATACCATTTGCATGGTTCAATGGTGCCAACACCAAATGAACAGCATCAATTTCTGCAAATATATTTAATTTCGTCGATGGTGGATCAGCTGAATGTGCGGTGCAATATGCAGGAAGAGTTAAAGAGACGAGTTATTGAACAGTTGCAATCATTTTTTCACGCTAATAATGCTGTGGTTAACATGTTCAAAACAGCATTGGAACGAATGCCATCAGATACGCACAAATGTATCATAAGAGCGGATTGTACCCCAAAAGGTGAACATGTGCGAAGATTCAATGCACCCACCGTTAATGATGTTGCTGCAATTATTGTTGGCGATCCAACTAAATCGCGAGACATTGTCGTTCAGCGAAGAAGCAATATCATGCATCGCGTAAACGAGACACATCGTTTGTACGACGCGTTACAATATCCAATCATTTATTGGCAAGGGCAAGACGGTTACGACATCACGTTGAAGATGGTTGATCCAATTACAGGTGCAATATTAACACACTAATTATTTTTATTATTGCTATTATTTGTTTCCATTAACAATTCATTTCATTTTGCATTTTCAGGCTTATCAACAAATAAAAATCTAAGCGTTATGAAATACTATGCATATCGTATGATGATTCGTTCACATGAGGAGAATGTCATTCTGAAGTGCCGTCGGCTATTCCAGCAATTCGCTGTCTACATGTATGTCAAAGTCGAGACCGAACGTTTAGCGTTCATTCGATTCAATCAGGCAAAGCTACGATCTGAGGACTATATACACTTGCGAGATGCTATTCATTCAGATGGTGATGTTCAGAATATTGGACGTCTCACGATTCTCCCATCATCTTATACCGGAAGTCCACGCCACATGCACGAATACGCTCAAGACGCTATGACGTACGTGCGACATTATAGAACTCCGGATTTATTTATTACGTTCACTTGCAATCCGAAGTGGACGGAAATTGAACGTGAGTTGGAAATAGGCCAAAAACCGCAAGATCGCCATGACATAATAGCCAGAGTATTTCAGCAAAAACTCAAGGTTATGATGGATGTGCTTACAAAGTATCGAGTTTTTGGTGACACACGTTGTTATATGTACTCAGTGGAATGGCAGAAGCGTGGACTACCGCATGCTCATATCCTAATTTGGTTGCTGAATTAATTACATTCAAATGAAGTGGATGACATCATATCAGCTGAAATTCCTGATCCAGTCACTGATCCCCATCTACACGATATTGTGACGACACAGATGGTGCATGGACCGTGCGGTGCATTAAATCCATTATCGCCTTGCATGGCTAATGGAAAGTGCACAAAACGATATCCGCGACCGTTAGTTGCTGATACATTCACAGGGAACGATGGATATCCAGTTTATCGTCGGCGTTCAAAAGAAGAAAATGGTCGAACTATCAAAGTTAAAGTTCAAAATCAAGAGATTGAGATCGGAAATGAATTTATTGTACCATATTGCCCGCTGCTATCTCGAATTTTCAGAACACATGCAAACGTTGAAAGTTGTCATTCGGCCAAATCAATCAAATATTTGTGCAAGTACGTCACAAAAGGCACCGACATGACTGTGTTGTATTGCGTCGGAAAATGCAAATGACGAAATTAGCAGCTTCCAAATTGGCAGATACGTCAATAGTAATGAAGCACTGTGGCGATTATTGTCATTTCAAATTCATGAAAGATATCCCACAGTTATGCATTTAGCAGTGCATTTGGAAAACGGCCAAAGAGTTTACTTCACTGAGGCTAATGCGGCACAGCGAGCTGAGAGACCACCATCGACAACATTGACTAGCTTCTTTGCTATGTGTGAAGCAGTTCCATTCGCAGCGACGCTGATGTACGTTGATATGCCTAAGTATTACACTTGGAATCAATCAACAAAGAATTTCCAACGCCGCAAACAAGGAACCCCAATTCGAGATTGGCCACATGTGTTTTCCACGGATGCACTTGGTCGCATATATACTGTTCATCCTAGAAGTGATGAATGTTTTTATTTGCGACTTCTGTTGGTAAATGTACGTGGACCAAAATCATTTGTGCATTTGAAAACTGTGAATGGCCACCGATGTCAAACATATCGAAAAGCATGTCAACTATTGGGTTTGCTGGAGAACGATTCTCATTGGGATCTAACACTTGCGGATTCAGTTGTTTCATCAAATGCGTACCAAATACGAACGCTGTTCGCAATTATCATCACCACATGCTTTCCTTCACAACCAATACAATTATGGAACAATTACAAAGACGACATATGTGAAGATATCTTGCATCGCTTGCCCATTTAAACTAACAATCCTGATATCCAAATAACCGATGAAATCTACAATGAAGGATTGATTCTGATTGAGGATCAATGCTTGACTATTGCAAACAAGCTACTAATTGAAGTAGGAATGATTGCGCCAAATCGATCGATGCACGATGCATTCAACCAAGAATTAAATCGAGAGCTGCAATACAATGTTGATACATTGCAAGAATTCGTTCGAATTAATGTGCCGTTGCTGAATGAACAGCAAAAACAAGTATACGAAACATTAATGCAAGCGGTGGCCAATGATACTGGTGGTCTATTCTTCCTGGACGCACCTGGAGGAACAGGGAAAACATTTGTCATTTCATTGATTTTGGCCACTATTCGATCAAGATGTGACATAGCTTTAGCGTTAGCATCATCTGGAATTGCAGCGACTCTTCTAGATGGAGGTCGTACTGCACATTCTGCACTTAAGTTGCCACTCAATTTAAACACAATTGATACTCCAACATGCAATATTTCCCGATCCAGTGCAATGGGAAAATTGTTGACGCAATAAAGCTCATTGTTTGGGATGAGTGCACAATGGCGCACAAGAAATCACTTGAAGCCCTTAACTTTACACTGAAAGATCTTCGGCAAAATAACAACATCTTTGGCGGCTTGATGATATTGTTGGCAGGCGATTTCAGGCAGACGTTGCCAGTAATTCCCCGTGGAACGCCTACAGATGAATTGAATGCTTGCCTGAAAGCATCACCGTTATGGAATAACGTAAAAACATTATCGCTAACCACTAATATGAGAGTTCAACTTCAAAATGATCAAAGTACTGCACAATTTTCTAAACAATTGTTAGCTGTTGGAAATGGGAAAGTCCCAGTTGATGCGACATCTGGATTAATTACTCTAACCAATGACTTTTGCCGATTTGTAGACTCTCAATTAGAACTTATTGAAAATGTTTTCCCAAACATTAGCGAAAATTATCAGAATTATGCTTGGTTAAGTCAACGAGCAATTCTTGCCGCAAAAAATAATGATGTGCACGCATTGAATTTCGCCATTCAGTCAAAAATTGCTGGCGATTTGGTGACATACAAATCCATTGATTCCATAACAAATCCCAATGATGTAGTAAATTATCCAACGGAGTTTTTGAACTCTCTGGAGTTACCAGGATTTCCACCACATAACTTGCAACTCAAAGTTGGCACTGTTATAATGACATTGCGTAATTTGAATCCACCGCAACTTTGCAACGGTACTCGACTTTCAGTAAGAAGACTTATGCCGAATTTGATTGAGGCAACCATTATTATTGGAAAGTACGCAGCTGAAAATGTATATATTCCTCGAATACCAATGATTCCGACTGGTCTTCCGTTTGACTTCAAACGATTACAATTTCCAGTTCGCCTTGCGTTTGCAATGTCAATTAACAAGTCGCAAGGTCAATCGCTTAGTGTTTGCGGTATAAATTTAGAAAATCATTGTTTTTCGCATGGCCAGTTGTACGTTGCCTGTTCACGAGTTGGAAAACCATCCGCTTTGTTTGCGTTAACGTCAGACCAAAAAACAAAAAATGTTGTTTACCAAAAGGCTCTTCAATAAAACATATAATTTGCAGATTCACTTTCTTTTACTTAGAGAACTTCAACTCATTTTTGTAATCAAAATAAATTCATTACTGTTGTGTAATAAAATCAAATTTTTTCTTTTTAAATATAAACCAAACAAAAAATTTCTTCATCTTTCTCACGAAACCATCTGGTGGCGAAACGGAGTTCGTCGGGTTTGCTAGTATATATATATATATATATATATATATATATTGAATGGTAGAGTCTTGGATTTGTGTATATTTTGTAGAGTTTCGAACAAGAATCCAAAAATAATACAAAATAAAAAACAAGAAAAATTTTTAAAAAACAATTTCTTTATTTAATTATTTGTTTATTGTCAACGTTTCGGAACTAGGTACGTTCCATCTTCAGGACATCTGTCAAGAAACATGATCTTGATGAGATTTAAGCAAACAATATGTTTAGGAATAGAAAATAGATTTTTCTTAAATAATAAATTAATTGTAACAAGTAATAATGTACAGAAATATGATAATATGATCAAAAAGAAAATGATAAAAATAAATGAGTGGATTATCAGAACAGGATATTAAAAATGATAGAAATTTTTTGAAAGTTATGGAAAATTTTTTTAAGAAAGGCTTAATGATAAAATTGAATTAATTACCTGTATGTTTGAATATACGTTAGCACTTTTTCACTAAACAAGAATTTTTGACAAAAAATGAATTTGTGAGTTATTTTTCCGCCGAATAGTTAACTTTTGTAAATCAAAATTACTAAAAGTGTTGTCTTTTTTTTAAATTATTATTTGAAAACAAATAATATTGTATTCGATGTTGTACTATTGGCTTTTGGAAACGAACTAAATTGTATTTGCTGTTTCTTATGTAACACGTGTAAACACTTGAAACGAGAACTGTGAGATTGTATGTGTGTGTTTTTTCATTATAGGGTGTAAATCCTTAAATTATTGAACTTAAAAGGAAGTCGATATTAATTGTTTGTCAAAAAGTGTAAAAAATTTAAATATGAGTCATGTAATAGGTTGTGATCTGATCTAATGTTGACACTGTTAGAAACATTTATGAGAATGAGACAACTCTCCGCGAGGTTGCATCTTTAGAAGGTTATTCGCGGAGAGTTGTCTCATTCTCATAAATATTATTTAAATCTTGATGGAGTGCGTAGTAATGAGTTGGAGCGAGGTGTGATACAAAATGTCCTTTTTTCAGGAATTTATATTAAATTTTTTATATAATTTTGATGTTGAAATATGTGATATTCAAGTATTTCCCTGAAAACTGAATATCACATATTTCAACATTGAACATTCATTTTTGATTACTACGCACTCCATCAAGATTTTATTAATATTAATTTTAGTTTAATTACCAATGTTTTATTTAATTATTTTTGTTGTATTACGTGTATAATAATTTTTTTTTATATATTTAGCTAAGTTTCTTAGTAAATTGTAATAACTTTGTACACTATTCTTGTCATTTTAAATTTCCTTATTTAGTTTTCTTTTTTACATTTTTACTTTTACTTTAATTTACCGTTCCTTTTATTTATTTACATCATGAATCAAACGACTTTCAACCGCGCGTTCTTCAAACGAACTGATTATTCTCAGAACAATTACCCCCTAAATAATTTGTTTTACTCGTTTATCAAAAAGCATTACGGTTTTTACATTTTTTCACTATTAAAACACATTACCAAACTGAATACGAAATTAATAACTAACATTAACAAACAGATTTTCTTAATAAGATGCAGAAAAAAAAGTATAATTCCTAAGTTCTATCAATTCAATACAGACAAATTTTCGCACTTACATAGTTCGCTAAAAAACAAATTTTCATCATTAAGCCTCCATATCTTATCCATTGAAATCAAGAATTGTATCTGCAATGTCAATAATTTGAAACTAGCTATTGATAAAACGTACGCTTGGCTCACTCATACTGTTGAAGCGGAGATTCTGCAAAACTTTTCTGAATACGAATCGACGCGTAACAACAAATTTTTCATTAAATTAAAAAATTCTTATAAAATTAAATTCGATAAATTATTGCAGGCTAAACGCAACCGTTCAAAAATAGTTTTAAATAGTACACTAATTAACAAATGGCTAAAAAATCTTTCCAGCGTCACAATTCCAGATAGATTACTTTACATTTTTGCACTAGGTCCCAACTTTGCTATCCCCAATAATTGCCACAATTTAAATTTTATTAAAGTTTTAAGCAGACTAGAAGCTGGCCTTCATAATATCAAAAATCCTGAAGTAAAATCTAACATTCGTTCCTATTTCTGCAAAAATTTTCTCTCCTACATCAAGTCCTTTAACTCCAAAAAAATTGTTGATTACAAAGATATTTTAAGAGACATAAAACTTTGCAAAAACTTTCTCAAAGATAATCCGAATATTTTAGTAACCAGAGCAGATAAAGGAAATGTCACAGTAAGTCTCGACAAAACTACGTACTTAGAAAAAATCACTAGTCTAGTTAATGACACTAACGTTTACAGTCCTAGCAATAGCGATCCTACAGATCGAATCAACCGCACGTTCCACAAATTCATTAATAATTTAGTTTCTACTAAACAAATCCCACAAGACTTGTCCTTGTCGTTAAAAAACCTACATTCTAACAACCCAAAATTATATGGTCTGCCAAAAATCCACAAAACCAATGTACCTTTTAGACCTATAGTTGCCTATATAGACGTAGT